CCGGGGCACCAGCTCGGTGCAGGGCGCGGAGCCGTTTTGCAGCGGGTACAGCACGAAGGGCGAGTTGTCGTTGGCGTCCAGCACCAGCACGCGCACCAGCGCCTCGCTGCTCAGCGCCGGGGAGCCGCGGTCTGTGGCGCCCACGCGGAACTCGAACGCCTGCAGGGCCTCGTAGTCCAGCGACCTGAGGGCGAACAGGTGGCCGTTGTCCGCGTTGATGGAGACCAGGGAGGCGAGGGGCAGGTGCGGGTCCTGGGGTGGCAGCAGCGAGTAGGTGACCAGGGCGTTGGTGCCTGAGTCTCTGTCTGTGGCGCTGACACCGCCGATGTGCAGGGCGGGGCTGTTGTTCTCGCGGACGAACAGGGTGTAGGAGGTTTGGGTGAAGGCGGGGGCGTTGTCATTCACGTCGGAGACCAGCACGGTTATGTTGTACTTGGTTTTCAGCCTGGGTGTCCCCAAGTCAGTGACGGTGATGGTGATGTTGTACTCGGATCTGGTCTCTCTGTCCAGTGCGCCTTCTGACATGAGGGTGTAAAAATTCTCTACGGATGGTTTCAGGATGAAAGGGAGATTGTTCTCAATGGAACACACCACTCTTCCGTTGTCTCCAGAGTCTAGATCAGAAACACTGAAAACAGCCAGTACAATCTCTGCCGAGTTCTCAGGGATAGGGCTGTTTACTGAAGACAAGGTCAGTTCCGGTGGGTTGTCGTTGACATCAACCACCTGGACTATGACTGTAGACTTTCCGGATAGGCCTCCGCCATCCTTCGCCTCGATGTCGACTTCATAACTATTAATAGCTTCAAAATTCAAATATTTGACTAGTTGCATATCACCAGTAATTGGATTTAGCTGAAAAGTTTTGCGAATTTCTTCAGAAGCATGAAAAAATGCGTATGATATTGTCCCAAAACTTCCTGTATCTAAATCAGAAGCCGAGACTGTGACAATGACAGAGTTAACGGGGGTATTCTCTAGAACTGCAACCTCATAGAGTGGCTGTGCAAATTCTGGTGCATTGTCGTTTATATCTAAGACCTGGATGTTTATCTGGGCAGTCCCAGACCGAGGGGGAGCGCCGCCGTCCAGCGCAGTGAGCGTTAAGCTGAGCTCCGGCTGCTCCTCACGATCCAGCGCTTTATCCAGTACTAGTTCCGGGTACTTCCTTCCGTCCCTACGACTGCGAGTGAGTACGTGGAAGTGGGAATTCGGAGTGATAGTGTAGTTTTGGAGGCTGTTTCTTCCCACATCCAAGTCCTCAGCATTTCCCAAAGGAATTACTGCTCCTGGTAGAGTGCTTTCTAGGATTTTCAGATGCATTTCATTTTCAAAGAATACCGGAGAATGGTCATTTACATCTATGATATGGAGCTCGTTTGTAACAAACTGCAAAGGGTTTTGCAGTAATATCTGAAAATGCAGTATGCATGGTTCTGTGGGGCCGCATAGCTCCTCCCGGTCCAATTTCTCATTCAGAAGCAAATCACCTGTCTGATGACTGAGCTGAAAATGCTGTTTGTTCCCTTTGGACACAACTTGGGCCCCCCTCGCGGACAGTTCCTCTACCCTTAGCCCCAGATCCTTTGCTAGGTTGGCTATTAAAAAGCCCTTCTCTTTTTCCTCAGCCACAGAATAGCGTCTTGACTCGGACCCAGCCAGAGACCCTCCCAGAAAAACAAAGAGAAGCAGGACTTGCCTTTGTCTAAGAAATCGCTCTCCTCCCGCCTCCATTGCACTTTCCGTCACGCTTTTCTAGGGAATGTCTCCAAGCTGAACCTCAGACAGCGCTGGGAAACAGTCTTTTGCTCCACAACCTTTGCAGACGGCCTAGTCAATAAGCCTTTCCAGAGGCTCAGACTTGCTGACTCAAAAATCTGCCTCGGCTCACAACCCCTGGTTTACCACACTGGATCCGTGCGTCACCGAGCATGCACAATGCCCGTGGTTTAATTCGCCTTCTTAGTCAACAGCGCCACCATGCGTTCGCTTGCAGTTTCAAAATCTTGGAGAAGGTGTTTTTGTTTTGCTTTATCGTTTATTCTTATCAACCCTGGTTGACGCTACTGGAGGAGTTTCTCATGTTATATGAATTAAATAAATGCAATCTAGGGAAATAAAATGCGCTCTTATCTAAGAGCAGCGATTCTTCCTGGTAGAGTCCTCATTTACATGATTTAGCGGAAGTGTACAGACACTAGCTTACCCCTCCCCTTCTGTAATAATTACACACAAACTTCAAAAGATTTTTCCTCTAGATGATAGCATGCTTTACTATCCTATTTATGTTTTTCTTTTTTTTTCTAAACTTTGTGAAATGAGTCCGAATTGCCTATACCAGAAAAATAAAAGGAAAAGACACCTCCTGCAAGGTGGTAAAAAGGAAAATATATCATGTCAGAGGTGGATCCAGAGGGCTACAAATGCCTAATTTCTTCCACATTATCACGCTCAAGGAACACTTAAAGTGCTTTCTCTTCTTATTTCAGAGCAAATTTGCAATTATTCATTTCATCTGTATTAGCTTGTTTCCACAGATAATTGTTGAGTTTGTAGAAGTTAGGCAAGTGGTGGTAACAAGACAATGTCTGTATATCTTACAACAATTTTCCATCTAGTGGGTGTACAGTCTTTAAACAGATGTTTAAACAGTGTGAAAAGTGCTACATAGAAAAGGTACTGAGTGCACTGAAAGTATGCAATACGGGGACCTACGTTAATGGAGAGTGATTAAGAAAGTTCCCCCAAGGTGCACTATTTAATCTGAAACATGAAATAGGAGAAGTGTGCCAAGCTAAGACTGTAGAGTGTGTGAAGGCCCTGAGAGAGTGAAGCATAGCTATTAAGAGATAATGAATGAAGGACAGTGAATACAAAACTTAATGTCTCAAGAGTAAGTGGAAAGGAAGGCTGAAAAGGTAAACCAAGGCCAAATAATGGGTGCTTGCATTTTATTCTGAGAACAAAAGGAAGCCATTGCAAGGTTGTTGGTAGAGAAATAAAACAATGCAAATATGTGTTCAATATAGCCTCTTTTGTACTTCTACACAATTATCAAGGAAGTTTGCTCTTAATACTAGTGATACTAAAAATAATAGCAATTTCACTTTTATGTCTTTATATTGAGTATAACTGCAAGCTATTCAAATACCTGTTATCATTTGGGGTAGAAGAAGAGAAACTTTGTGACTTATCCAAAATCTTACAGGTAATGAGTTGGTTGATCAGAGACTTTTGATACCAACACAGCGCTCTACCCCACTGCTAATCTCAAAACAAGACCTTCAAAGTTAATATTACAATTTTAATAGGAAAGCTCATTCAAATGTATGTAAAAATCATATAAAAATGTAAAGATAGACTGAGTAACATTAGTAATTAAGATTTGTTTTAATGTATGGATGAGAAAGTAAACTGCAAGAAATGAAAACAGTTGGGTTAGTCATTTAGGGAACTATGGAAGGAAATTTAAGTAACAAAATTAAAAACCACAATTTCATCTGTATTTCTTAAGCCAGTGGACAGGAGAGGAGGCTCAATTTAAGCATTAAGAGAAAAAGGAAAAATACGTTGAAGAAAAGCAACAACAGAATGATAACTGCATGTTTGAACAATGGTGATCAATTCAACTAATAAAAAAATTGTAATTCATTGTACACCGAAGAGTATTTGGTTCCAGCAAAATGTTTTCCTTTAAGTGTTTTAGTTTATTTAAATATCAATATATCACAGGTAAAATACTTTTCTCTCTTTCAATCATTCAAAAATTTTATTAAGAACCTATAATGTTCCAGTGACTGTGTGAATCACGCAATAAATGAGGGAGCTGTTGAGAAACAGAACTCAAGCACCTTTATAAAAAAGCATTGAGAAGTCTAGGGAAATGAAAGGGGGAAAAATAGAAGTAGCCAGTGGAAAAAAAGAGAGTGAGTGGTGTTAGATACATTTTTCTCCCAAAAGGTTTATTTCTAAGTGAATCCTAAATGCTCCAGAAAATGTTAAAAACAGCAATACCAAGCTATATTTGAGGTTTCTAAAGGTCAAGGACAAAGACATGTACTCCCTCATATTTTTTGGATTTTAATGAAGTGCTCAATGTTAATAGGTTATTAATAATTTTAAAAGATTTTAAAGGGGGGGGACTGGAATAAGCAGAGGGCTCTTAAAAAGCTATTTGAAAGCGAAAGCATGATGAATTAGCATGACTTTGAAAACTGCTAGACATGTATTATTTATCTACATTTTAGAATATTAATGATTGATTTTTGACAAAAATTTATTAGAGCACTTACGATGTTAATGCCTTGTAGAATTCAACAGTTAGAATTCTTACAATCTCTAAAGATTAATACTTTTTATATGTCAATATTTTAAGAAGTATATATATTGGGCCAGGGGGCGGTGGCTCAGACCCTTAATCCAGCACTTTGGAAGGCTGAAGTGGGCAGATCACCTGAGGTCAGGAGTTCAAGACCAGCCTGACCAACATGGAGAAACCCTGTCTCTACTACAAATACAAAATTAGCCGAGCATAATGACTCATGCCTGTAATCCCAGCTACTTGGGAGGCTGAGGCAGGAGAATAGCTTGAACCTGGGAGGCAGAGGTTGCAGCAAGCCAAGATTGCACCACTGCACTCCACTCCAGCCTGGGCAACAAGAGCAAAACTCCATCTCAAAGAAAAAAAAAAGTACATATATTGAAAAATGTAAGGATGGTGCTTGCTATATTATTCATAAATATACCTATTTAAAGGGTTAGCCAATGTGAATTCACAGGATAGAATTTACACTAGCCTAAGAGGATATAACAAACACAAATATTCTGGGCTGGAAAATATAACTCATGTAATGATAACAAATATTTTCAAATGTAGGACTTCAAAATTATCTAGGACCACGGACTGTGAGGTCTGGAAAAGATGCTCTAACTTAAAGATTTCTGAAAATACAAAATTTACACTTTAAATGCAATTAAATTGCAATGAAACTAACCAACAATTAGAATACAAAGAAAATTTACATTCATTATACTGCAAAAACTCATACGTTATAAATACCAGTAACATGCATAGAATTGGAATAAGATAGTTACGTTCTAATAAAAGGAGACACCTCCAATGGGCAAAGCAGTGAAAAAGGACTTTCCACAAATTAAATGAGACTAGCATCAGTAGATCCTTACTAACACTTAACTGAATTCAAAGCTCTTCCTGAAACTGGGATTTGCCTCGTTAACCCTCTCTGCACCCTGAGCAACGAAATTAGGGATAATTGGCTTCAGGAACTTGAACTCATTTGTCCCGGAGCCTCCAGTCAGACACACCTCGTACTGGTAGCTCTGGGACAGGGTCTCGGTGCCGCTCACGTCCACCAGATGCCCTGGAAAGGGACCCTCGGGCACCGAGCAGCGACCCACAGAGGCCGCCCTGCTCCTACTGCACAGCCGCACCGCCACGAACAGGAGCACCGACAAGAGGAAGAGCAACGACACTGAGGCCAACGCCACCACCAGGTAGACGGTGAGCGAGTCGGCCTGGGCCTGGGCCGGGGCCGCCTCCGGGAGCGGCAGGTAGGGCTGGGAGAAGCCGTCCACCAGGAGCACGTGTAGCGTGGCGGTGGCCGAGCGCGGAGGCTCGCCATTGTCCTTGACCAGCACCACCAGCCTGTGCTTGGCCGCGTCGCGCTCGCTCAGCAGCCTGGAGGTGCGCACCTCGCCATTGTGCGCCCACACGCCGAACAGCCCGGGCTCCGTGGCCTTGAGCAGCTGGTACGACAGCCAGGCGTTCTGGCCCGAGTCGCCGTCCACCGCCACCACCTTGGTCACCAGGTAGCCCGGCTCGGCCGCCCGGGGCACCAGCTCGGTGCAGGGCGCGGAGCCGTTCTGCAGAGGGTACAGCACGAAGGGCGAGTTGTCGTTGGCGTCCAGCACCAGCACGCGCACCAGCGCCTCGCTGCTCAGCTCCGGCGAGCCGCGGTCTGTGGCGCCCACGCGGAACTCGAAGGCCTGCAGGGCCTCGTAGTCCAGCGACCTGAGGGCGAACAGGTGGCCGTTATCTGCGTTGATGGAGACCAGGGAGGCGAGGGGCAGGTGCGGGTCCTGGGGTGGCAGCAGCGAATAGGTGACCTGGGCGTTGGTGCCTGAGTCTCTGTCTGTGGCGCTGACACTGCCGATGTGCAGGGCGGGGCTGTTGTTCTCGCGGACGAACAGGGTATAGGAGGTTTGGGTGAAGGCGGGGGCGTTGTCATTGACGTCGGAGACCAGCACGGTTATGTTGTGCTCGATTTTCAGCCTGGGTGTCCCCAAGTCAGTGACGGTGATGGTGATGTTGTATTCGGATCTGGTCTCCCGGTCCAGGGCTGTGCTTATCACCAGAGTGTAAAAGTTCTCAACAGAAGGTTTCAAGAAAAAAGGAAGATCATCTTGGATGGAGCACACTGTCCTTCCGTTGTCTCCGGAGTCAGGATCTGAAACACTGAATACAGCAATGAGGGTGTCCTGCAAGTTTTCTGGGATCTGATTGATAAGTGTCGACATAGTCAGTTCCGGAGGATTGTCATTCAAATCCATTACTTGGACAAATACCACACAAGTTCCAGATAGGCCCCCACCATCTGTCGCCTGAATATTTACTGTGTACGTCTGGATGGATTCGAAATCCAGTGTCTGTCTTAAAAGGAGTTCTCCCGATTTTGCACTTAATCGAAACGTTTTGCGAATGTCTTCAGAGGCTTGGGAAAATGCATAAGATATTTCTCCATTAGTTCCAATGTCTAAATCCCTGGCAGAGACGATGGCAACCTGGGATCCAATAGGGCTGTCCTCCGGGATCTGCACCTCATAGAGCAGCTTTGCAAACTCTGGGACGTTGTCATTGATGTCCATAACTTCAATCCGTACCAGGGCCGTGCCGGACCTGGGTGGAGTCCCGCCATCTAGCGCTGTGAGGGTTAACCTGATCTCAGGCTGCTCCTCGCGATCCAGGGCTCTGTTCAGCACCAGCTGTGGTAATATTATGCCATCGAGACTGTCTTGTAAATTAAGATGGAAGTGGAAATTGGGACTGATTGTGTAATTTTGGAGACTGTTGGTTCCTACATCCAAGTCCTGGGCACGTTCTATTAAGAAAGTAGTTCCAGGAGTGATACTTTCTGGAATTTTCAACAGTATTTCTTTGTCTAGGAAAACTGGGGAATGATCATTTATGTCCCTAATCCGTAGCTCCGCCTGAAAAAACTGCAAGGGATTTTCTAGTAACACCTGGAAAGGTAAGACACAGGGCTCCGTGGGGCCGCACAGCTCCTCCCGGTCCAATTTCTCATTTAAGAACAAATCCCCGGTCTGCTTATCGAATTGCAAATGCATTTTTTTTCCTTTAGAAACGACCCTGGCCCCCCTCACAGCAAGTTCTCCTATCTCCAGCCCCAGGTCTTTTAACAAATTGGCCACAAAGGAGCCACTCTCCGTTTCCTCGGCCACTGAGTAGTGCCTAGGCTGGGAACTAGCCTGAGCTATGCCCAGCAAAACAAAGAATATCAGGACTTGCCTTTGTTTAGGAACGCGCTCCTTCCCCTCTCCGGCCTCCATTGCCTTCTGGTCTCACACCAAACCTGCTCCAGCTCGGGCTCACGTTGTCGCTGACTCTATCTCCCCGTATCTCGCTGATACTGGGATGAGTGGACAATCCTAGGGCCCGGATTTCCCGAAGCGACCGCCTTAGAAAGCCTCCTCTTCCTGCTTGCTGCTGCTTTAGTTGAGTTTCTGGGTGAAGGAGCGTCGGCTGGGTGCTTTGTTTCTGCTACTTCTAAGGCTGCAGCGCCACCCCGCGTCTCTTCCGAGTATTTATTTTCTCCTAAACTTTAAGAAAATTCCAGTGCTTTCTTTCAGGCTGATGGCAGTAGAAATTGAGTATTTTCAAGTAGTGTCTCTCAATATACCGAAGTCTTATTGGCGTTTCGAAAGGCTCTTCATTGCACCCACAGAGACATGGCAAGAATAAATAAATCTTCACTTCAGTTCCCTCACAGATCCAAGCGTTTTTTGTTTTTTTTTTTCAAACTGGAAAAAATAAATTTCAGAACCTGGAAGGGAGTGATCTTAGTCCTAGCATGCTTCAGAAAAAAGGCTTAGACTAAGAAAGTTCTATTTTTATTCAGAGTTTGGGCATGTGTGCAACTCAGTGGTGGTTAGGTTACCATCATCACACTCAAACCCAACCGAAAAACACAGAGACCCAGGAAAAGTACAGAATCCAAATAAGAGTATTTTAAGGGGCACTGAAATAGTCTCCTTACTCATACTTCTTTCTTTGCACTGCTCCCGCTTCACATTTCCCTGAACTTTGATGTGTCTGAGCCTCATGAAACTCTCCAAGAGCAGCCAGATATCTTCTTCTTGTAAATGTATCAATATTATTTTCCTTTCTAATGCCTAGAACTTTCAACATAACCTCAATTCAATTACCACATCTAGTAAAGTTAAGAGCAATTTCATAATATTAAATAGCCAGTAAATATTCCAGTTTCCCCAATTATCTTTAAAAATGTATTTCCAGTGATGGTTTCTTCCATCTGCTTCCAAACAAGGTATGTATGTCGTTGTTTGTTGTTAGGTTTTTTTAATTTTCTGTCTCTTTGGGGTTTTTTTAATGTTAATATAAAGAAATAACTTATCAAGCCACAGAATGACATGAAGGAAACTTAAATGCATATTTCTCAGTGAAAGAATCCAGCCTGAAAAGGAAATGATACTGTATAATTCCAGTTACATGATACTCTGAAAAAGGCCAAATTATAGAGACACTTAAAAGATCAGTGGGTAGCTAGGAAGAAGAGGGAGGGGGAATGAAGAAGTTAACACTGGGGACTTTACAATACTATAATGGTAGATACATGACATTATACAGTTGTCAAAATCCACAGAACTATACAACACAAAGAGTGAACACTAAACTATGGAATTTAGTTAATAATTTACCAGTATTGGCTCATCAATTGTAACAAATGTACCACAGTAATGCAAGATTTTGATAACAGGGAAACTTTGAGTGGGAGAAAATCGGTATGTGAGGGGAACTATTTGTACTGTTTGCTCAATTTTCTGTAAAACCTAAGGCTGCTTTAAAAAAATAATTTTACTTTGGGAGGCCGAGGCGGGCAGATCACAAGGTCAAGAGATCAAAACCATCCTGGCTAACCTGGTGAAACCCCATCTCTACCAAAAATACAAAAAACACTTAGCCAGGCGTGGTGATGGGTGCCTGTAATCCCAGCTACTTGGGAGGCTGAGCCAGGAGAAGCATTTGAACCCGGGAGGCAGAGGTTGCAGTGAGCCAAGATCATGCCATTATACTCCATGCCTGGTGACAAAGTGAGACTCTGTTTCAAAATAATAATAATAATAATGATGATAATAATAAATATTAGGATGTGTCTCTAAAAGATCCATTGGGTTAAAAAATTGGGGGATGAAGAAAAAATTAAGTATATAGAAAAGTTGAAACAACTATACACAAACTACAACTCTAACCTCCATCCAAATTAACAATTGTTTGTTTTACCATATTTATTCTATCTTATTCTGCACACACACCTGCTTTTCTGCTGACTCATATGAAAGTAACTTGCAGACATCATATTTCACCTCTAAATATTTCAGCACGTATCACATAATTACAATATTATCTCATATAATCATAATGCTACTATCATACTTAAGAAAATTTGAAAAAATTCTACAATGTTATCTAAAATCCAGTCCCAATCAAATTTCACTGTCTTTCCATTATCTTTTCCTCAATTTTGATAAGAATTCACATTCACTCAAGTTCCTTTGACAAATGCACTTACTTTTTTTAACTATTTGTTATAAGGAATGTCTTAGAAACTTTTTCAACCAGCTTTGATAATGGTATTTGGGTGTTAGATCTATTTACTCTAGAATAGTCTCCCATCTTTAATGACATTAAATTTCTGAAGTGTCCAGACTAGTGGTTTTGTAGGATGTCCTACATTCTGAATCTGATTGTTTCTTCATGGTATCATTTAACCTGTTCTTCTATCCCCTGTATTTTCAGAAAACTGGACTGGATTATTTATTAAATGTAACAATAGCATAATATTTTAAAAAGCTCTCATTTATCCTCTGTAACTGCCAAAAAAAGGATAATCACAGTTTCCCTTTCTTAACATTTAGAAAACATGCCTATCTCTACCTGTTATTTTTTGCTTTTCATGACTGTTACTTTTATATGGATGTTATAATAATTCAAAATATTTTAATTCATTGACATTGAGCATTAAACAAATTCATTGAGGTGAATAATATCCAAGGCCCAAGTTTTTAAAAACAGCTTTTTATATAAGCTGCAAAACCTAATTAGGGTCCGAAATAGATGTCATGAAGATCAGTTATATCATACAGGCAGGTTATAACTGGAAGGTTACTTGAAATTTTACATTTAACCAGGTATATGGCTATTTCCTTTGGACAGGTTTTCTGAACTAAATCAGTTGTAGTTAATTTGAGATAAGATAAAGGAGAGGAAAATAGGTAATATGAAGAAAATAACATAATCTTGCTCCTCTCACAAGCGGGAGAATAGAAAACTTAATATCTAAGATACATCAGAGGATACAATAACCAAGAACACATTAGGTTTTATTGTGAAAAAAATTTTAAAACCTCTCATGTTGTCATGTGTCCTCACAATTCAGAAGGTTTTACCCATCTTTCATTTCAATGCTATTAACATACCTAGAAATAAAAGTAAGTTTCTCTTTTTCAAAAATGATATAACCAACACCAATATTTTATATTTGTATATGGGTTTCTAGCTTTAAATGCATTATATCTGCTATGCTATTTTAAATCATTTATTTTCTTAAACCTTGATGAGAATACACCTTCCTTCTTTACAAACGCTCTTATTTTCTTAATCTCCTTCAATAAGGAATCGTATATATTAGATTAGAATTTATAGCATATTTATAAGTCTAAATGAAATATGTTTACATATAGTAAATTTATTGTAATGAGGGAATCTATTACATAATTTAAAAATTATGTTATTACAATAGGTTTAATTTCTTAGGTTTGGCTTTACTTTTCATATGCTGCACAAGCACAGCCATTATCCTAGGAGTCACTTTCATAATTTTGAAGATTCGTTTCAATAAAATCTAACTATTAAAATATTACACAAATAATTTTATATACAGGAATAGAAAAATATTTTCAAAAACACTAAAAAATGAAAGCAAGTCATTACAGTCTTATTACAAAAGTACAGCCATTCAAAAAATAAATAAGAACACATTGTTCTGGCCGGGCGCGGTGGCTCACGCCTGTAATCCCAGCACTTTGGGAAGCCGAGGCGGGCGGATCACAAGGTCAGGAGATCGAGACCATGGTGAAACCCCGTCTCTACTAAAAATACAAAAAATGAGCCGGGCGCAGTGGCGGGCGCCTGTAGTTCCAGCTACTCGGGAGGCTGAGGCAGGAGAATGGCGTGAACCCAGGAGGCGGAGCTTGCAGTGAGCCAGGATCACGCCACTGCACTCCAGCTTGGACAGAGCGAGACTCCGTCTCAAAAAAAAAAAAAAAAAAAAAGAACACATTGTTCGAGTATCTGTCATAATTAAGCCTCTCTTTTTGGGACGAAAGGGTGATTTGATTTTTTGACTGCCATGAGATAAAAATTACAAGAATTAAGAGAAAGGGTAGTCAAAGGGATTTACATGACCATTTTCCTATCAAAGATAATACCAAATGATAGGGAAATATTATCCCCACTAGTATCCCTCTTTAAATAGAGAGGGATCTTCAGCTTTTCAATGCCTTCTGCCCATAAGCTGGCTTTACTTAGCCATAAGATGGCAGAAGAAGGAGGTGTTCTCAGTGATCTAACACTAAGACTCTGCAGAAAATATGAGAGAAATATTCTAGGATGAGAAGAGAGTATTCTGGCATAGTTTATTACCCTAATCTAGGGGGAAAATTGGGGGCATATTCGACTAATTTACTTTTGCCTTATTGAGGATACAAGTAAGTTTTCCCATAATCTATCAAGACATACATTTCATGAAGCTCAAGCAAACAGGATTTCAAAATAAAGGTCGGCTAGACTTCGTGGCTCACACCTGTAATCCCAGCACTTTGGGAGTCCAAGATGGGTGGACTGCTTGAGTCCAGGAGTTGGAGACCAGCCTGGGCAATGTAGCAAAACTCCATGTCTACCAAAAAAAAAAATCAGCCAGGTGTGGTGGCTCACGCCCATAGTCCCAGCTACTTGAGGGGCTAGGGTGGTAACATCACTTGAGCCCTGGAGGCAGAGGTTGCAGTAAGCCGAGATCACACCACTGAACTCCATCCAGCCTGGGTGACAGAGCGACACCCTGTCTCAAACAACAAAAACAACAACAAACAAGCAAATGAAACGTGAAATAAATGCCACTCAAAAAGGGGAAATGGTGTTGTTTATTCTCTTCCCACAGGACAAATAAGCAAGAAAAGGTTTTAAAAGTGATACCTGCACAAGAATCTTGCCCAATTTTGTTTAAGGAAAACCATCAGAGTCTATTAGGACAATCTGTCCCCTTGAAAATAAAAATCTTGACCAGCACTGCAGATAAAGTTAGATAGACCGATATAGATGGAAATAGAGATGAGAGAGTAGAAGTATGACCACTTCCAAAAATCTCAGACCTTTTTTTATGATTAAAATAGGCTAAAACTTAAATCGGGTTTAGGTAATCTGGTAGACGATTGAATTTTCACTAAGATCACTATTGAAATTTTACTTTAAAAGAAAATATGGACCGGGCGCGGGGGCTCACGCCTGTAATCCCAGCACTTTGGGAGGCCGAGGCGGGTGGATCACCAGGTCAGGAGATGGAGACCATCCTAGCTAACACGGTGAAACCCCGTCTCTACTAAAAATACAAAAAATTATCTGGCCGTGGTGGCAGGCGCTGTAGTCCCAGCTACTTGGGAGGCTGAGGCAGGAGAATGGCGTGAACCCGGGAGGGGGAGCTTGCTGTGAGCCGAGATCGTTCCACTGCACTACAGCCTGGGCGACAGAGCGAGACTCTGTCTCAAAAAAAAAAAAGAAAGAGAAAGAAAAAAGAAAATATGGCTAAGTACAATATCGAAAATTAGTAAATAATGAAGAAGTCCAAAGGTGTAGAGAGGGCAAAGAATATGGGGTGAGGGGAAGAAACCTGAAACTCTGACTACAAAATACAAACCATAATCAATTTAGATATGCTAAAGAAATATAAGGAAATACTTGAAAATTATTATATTTTCATATCAGAGTAATTATTTGAACATCTACTGTGAAAAGGAGCAGGCCGACAAGAGAACAAAGGAATATTAAAACCATAGTTATGACCAAATAAATGCTAAGTGAGGAATCTAAGTGACAGACCCCATATTCCTGAGGTCTGTCAAGATGTAGCCAGTAGAGCTGACAGAAACAGCTGACCAGCAGCAGTTGTACCAGCAGCAGTTGTTGTCTTACTCTGGAGTACACAGGTGGCATCTCAGTGTCCTTGACCATAACCTGAAGTCTATGATTGGCTAGATTACCATCACTCACAAACCTGGTGTGCACACTTCCTAGTTTTGGGCTAACATGCTATGCAGATGGAGACTCAAGTCTTTGAGTAACTGATAGGACATGAAGATCTTCCAGACCTAGTCTCCTTCTACTGCCACCATCTTGAACATCACATAATCCGTTCTGCATTAAATATAACACAAAGGGGAACTGCCATTGCCATCAAATATTACCAACCACACCAACACCATGCTGATAGCTCATTGTACTAGTGTCTGTTTCTTTCATACAGAACTTGACTCTTAAGGGCCTTACAAACAGATGATTTGTGTCCACTGTCGTGGAGTACTGCACATCCTGGGAAACCAGAAGCAAATAAGTTACTTGCGTGTTTTTCTAAGTCTCTGTCTATGGCAACGTGCTGCTAAAATGCACACTTTTAGGGCTGTGTTTTCACACTTGATAAGTGTAGAGGCAGTTTGGTGAAAATGAAGACCTGGTTTTATTGTTTCCTTTCAGCTTACGGTAACTCCAGATCTCTGGCAGTGATCATAGAATTGTACTTGTCTTTATTCTACCTCTATTGAAG